AGCAAAAATCTCAGGTCCTAATTGATTCACTGCTGAATTCTACAAGAAATTTAGAGAAGATTTAATGCCAATACTCCTCAAACATTTTAATGAAATTTAAAGGGAAACAATACTGCTTACCTCATTTCTAGAGGTACTCTGATAACAAAAGAGAGAGTGAGACCCAACCAAAGAAAGAGAACTACGGACCAAAACCCCTAATGAACATAGATACAAAGATCCTCAATAAACTACTGGCAAATACAATGCAACAAATCATCAAGAAGATTTCACACCATGACCAAACTGGATTCATCCCAGGAATGCAGGGATGGTTCAACTTATACAAATCAACAAACATAATACACCATATGAACAGAGTCAAAGACAAAAATCATGTGATCGTCTCTATAGATGCAAAAAAAAAAAAAACCCTTTTAATAAAGTCCAGCACTTGTTCATGATAAAAACTGTAGAGAAAATAGGAATAGCTGGTCTCTACTTCAATCTGATAAAAGCCATCCATGACAAACCAACAGCTAACACCATACTAAATGAACAAAATAAGAAACCTTTCATTCTAAAATCAAGAACAAGACAAGAATGTCCACTATCTCTCTCCTATACAATTCTCGAAACATTAGCCAGAGATATTAGACAAGAGAGAGAAATAAAAGAAATAAAAATACAAAAGAAAGAAGTTAAATTATTATTATTCACAGATGACATGATACTCTAAGGACAAGACTCCAAAAACTACACCAAAAGACTTCTAGATTTAATAAACAAATTCAGTAGCATATCTGAATACAAAGTCAACACCAAAAAATCGATAGCATTGCTACACACAACAAACTCACTGAGATAGAAATTAGGGAAAACACACTTCAAAATAATACGCAAAAAGATGGAATAGTTAGGAATGAATCTAACAAAGGAAATAAAAGATCTACACATTGAAAATTATAGAACTCTGAAAAAGGAGATTGAAGAAAATGGAATGATATTCCTTGCTCATGGATAGGAAGAATCAACATTGAGAAAATGGCCATAGTTCCAAAACTGTTATACAGATTTAATGCAATTCAAATCAAAATACCATGAGCATACCTCAAATATCTAGAGAAACCACTCCTAAAATTCATTTGGAAACAGAAGAGGTCCAGAATAACAAAGGCAATCCTGGACACAAGCAAATGAACTACAGAGGCTAGTCACAGAAATAATCGAGAATTTCCCTAATTTAGCAAAAGATAAAGATACTCAGATGTACAAGGCATATAGGACCCCAGTCACCTACAATCCAAACAGAACTACACCCAGGCATGTAATAATCAAAATTCCAGAAATCCAATATAAGAACAGAATATTAAAAGCCGTCAGAGACAAGAAACAGATCACTTACAAGGTAACACCCATCAGAATTACAGCAGACTTCTCGGCACAAACCATCAAATCACGAAGAGTGTGGGGGGAAATAATTCAAGCTTTGAAAGATAATAACCTCCAGCCAAGATTGATATATCCTGAACTACTGTTCCTAGAAATTGACGGAAAAACAAGGTGCTTCCAGGATAAAGAGGAACTAGGGGAATTTGCAACCACCAATTCAACTTTACAGAGAATACTGCAGGATATTCTAAAAAAGAAAAATACCAAGATTCCAGAAACAGTGGCAGAGAGGCCACAATGAATGGAACAGAAAGCGAAATAAAGAAGACAAACTGACAACTAATGACAGAAAAAGAGCTCAACAGAAATGAGGCAGAGAAGGTTGGATGGTAGGAACAGTTATTTTGGAGAAAACAACACATCATAATAGCTAGTGCTGATTTAATATCATCTTGTTTTGAAGTCCCATCAAGCTTTTGTTCTTCTGTCTCCATCCGTCTTAACAGGTTGTATCTTATTGGATTTTATTATATGTGATAATACAACAAAAACTTTTATAGACAAGGAGATTATACAGAAACCACTGTTCACTTTCTGTTAATTGGTTCTAAATACCCTGTAATACTGTCATTCTCTTGAATGGTTTTGCATTGTCTTGATATGTTTGATGCTGCAGTATACGAAGTTATACTCAAAGATTTCAAGGAAAGAGACACTGTGGTAACTACTGTTATGTCAGGATATCTAGTGGTGAAATATTATTTTGCTTAAATGGTTATGTTTTGACCTTCACTGTTTTGTTGTTATGCCCTCTTTTATCTCAATCTCCTTTTTTAAATTTACTTTTTTATCTTTTTAATTAAGGGAAAAATAAATAAAAAAAACCAGAATATATTTTAGTAACCCACTTTGATTTCCTATTAACTTGATTTGAAACCCTGTATTGTTCTCACCATCTTGTTTTGACTGATTTTCCTCTATTCTGTTTTGCTTGATGGTACCAAGTTCGAAAGTATGGGCAACAAATATGAAGACAATAAGATTCATTATGATGCCCATTCTGGTTGACTATTATCTTCTTTTAAAGTCCTATAATATCGCCAATGTTTTGGTTTTATTGGTTTTGTTCTTTACTGTTTTGTTCAATTTTATTATAATTGATGATATAGGCAATTCTTTTTAAGATAGCAAGAGGCATTATGGTAACCATTGTTGATCACCTTGTATTTTGTTTTTACCTTATGTATTATGTCCATCCTTTTGATTTGACTGACTCTGTTTTGTTATGTCACATTTGGTTTTACTCTCTTCAAAAAAAGCAATAAGAACTGTGGGAGTAGTAAAACCCAAAATGTGTCATTGTCATTGTACAAAAGAGAGGAAAAGAAAGTGCTCTAAAGTATATAACTGCATATATATTTAAGTGTATAAGATAGATAAACATATTACTGAGTTTTAATGGATCATTGAACAGAACTGTTTGCAGTGTCACTGAAAGTCCACTTTATATGCTTTGATTTTGTAACTTGAACAACTATTTCTAAGATGACAACATGTAATCTATTAACTAGTGATTTCCTACTGTTTATTTTTTCTGAAATTCTGTATAACTTGTATCCTTTTTGTTTTTTTTTTCTTTTTCTCCTTAAATAGAATTAAAAAAAAAAAAAAATGTGTGGGCCACCACATCCTGCCTCTGGGGGAAAAAAAAAAAGGCAGGAGGAATCAAAATCACTGATTTAACATTATACTACAAAGCTACTATGATAAAATCAGCATGAAAAACAAAGAAATTAAAAAAAAAAAAAACACCTGACCTGAGGATCAGTAGAACAGCTTAGAAGATGCAGACACAACTGCAAACACACTCAGCCACCTTATCTTTGCTTTGACAAAGGGGCCAAATATTTTCACTGGAAGAAAAACAGGCTGTTTAATAAATTATGCTGGGAAGACTGGCATTTCACATGCTGAAGCCTAATGTGAGACCCATGTCTATCACAACTCACTAAACTAAAGTCACAATGAATCAAAGATCTAAATATTCAAACACGAACACTAAATCTATTAGAAAAAAATGCAGGGAAAAACCTTGAAAACATAGTTGTAGGCACAGAATTTATGAACAGAATCCAAACTGCATGGAAAGTACTTCAAGGAGTCAGCAACTGGGGTCTCATCTTTTTAAAAGGTTTTGCACATCAAAAGAAATTGCCAGCAGAGTGAAGAGATGACTCACAAAGTGAGGAAAAAATTCAGCCAAGTTCCCCTCAGACAAAGAACTTCTATCTATACTGTATCAAGAACTGCAAAAAAATCAGGCGGCCTAAATGCACTGATCCAATCCAAAAGTGGGCATTAAGATGAAAACATACTGCTCAGATGAGGCAGTAAAAATGACAAATAAATGTATAAAAAATGTTCAACATCATTGGTCATTCAAGAAATGAAATTAAAGCAAAACTGAGATTCTATCTCACCCCAGAATGAAGGCCAATCATCAAGAAATTGACCAATATCAAATGCTGGCAAGACTGTGGGGAAAATGGGACCCTTCTCCACTGTTGGTGGGAAGGAATGTGGACTGGTAGAATTGCTGCTTCAACCAGTGGGAGATTCCTCAAGAACACTAGGATTAGAGGTCCCATTGACCCTGCTTCCCCTCTGGGTATTTTTCCAGAAGAATTAAAAACATCATACCACAGCGACGTTTGTGCACTCATGTTTAAAAGAGCACAGTTTTTCATACCTAAACCTTGGAAACAACCCAAACGTCCATCAACAGCCGAACTGACTAAAAAGATGGGCTATAATCATACAAGCATGTACTACTCAACTATAAAGAAGGATAAACTCGAGGCTTTCTTAGGTAAATGGATGCAACTAGAGACCATATTGATAGGTGAAACAAATCAGATGTGCATGTGTGAACATATTGTCTTCCTAGTGTAAGAAACTCAAAGAGTTTACAATATCCAAAATGTACAATGCATATCGTGAAAGGACAAGAATCCCCCCAAAAGGAAATAACAACTGGAATGGAGGAAAGCAGAAAAGAAGGAAAAGAAAAAAATATATATATTTACACATGCAAGGTAGCTAAGATAACTAATTTCTAGTTCATTGAAAAGAAAGAATTGTGCTTATATTGTTTGATCAATTTTAATCTGAACAACTAAACTGAGGATAAAAATATGCAATATATTAAGCATTATTAATTTTCTATTGTCTTGTTTTGAAATTCTGTATTATAGTTTTTATTGTTTTATGTCTTTAAATTAAAATTAAAAAATACTGGAGAAGACTAAAACTTTTCAACAATCGCAAAACTGACAGAGCTCAGGCAGAGGATTCCAAGGAAGCAGCTGGAAAGGAGGGGCAGAATTCCAAATAGATTAGCCCATGCCTTTTGGAGGTTGACAAAGGGGAGCTGGCAGGAGGGATCTGGGAGGCTCAGGAGATTGGGGTGGGGCTTACTGGCTGCACAGTAGGGGAAGGGCAGTGACTGAGCCTCAGCTTCTTGTCACAGCTCCCCTGCCCACTGGGAGGGGTGCTTTGTGACAAGGATAGTAGAGCTCTGTGACCTAGACCTGAGGCCCTCCTTTCTGGTCTGCCAGGAAACACTCAGGGCTCAGTTGCCAGACAGCGACTGTGCGATTCAGATGTTAGAGAATCTTGTCTCTCTTCTGAAGAGCATTTGTACCCCATGGCTAAGCCTCAGCTCCAACCCTTGGGCTATGGATATGATCCTTGCCTTTGTGGGTGGACTGGGGATCTACCTCGTGTTACTGCCCTTCCTACCGGATAAGCCATCGGTACCAACACCAACACCTACGGAGAAGAAACGTTCTAGAAGGGTGAGAGATCCTCAAGCCACATGCAACAAAGAACAACTCTCTCTTTCTTCTACTCTTCTTTCTACTACTTTTCCAAATGAAGGGGAGACCAATGAGGGAGAAATTCACAGGAAAGATTTAGAACATCATTCTTTACTTATTCCTTCCTTCCTTTCTTTTTCTTTCTTTCTTTCCTTCTTTTTCTTTCTCTTTCTTTCCTCTTTCTCTCTCTTTCTTTCTTTCTTTCTCTCTTTCTCTTTCTTTCTTTCTTTCTTTCTTTCTTTCTTTCTTTCTTTCTTTCTTTCTTTCTTTCTTTCTTTCTTTCTTTCTTTCTTTCTTTCTTTCTTTCTTTCTGAACCAGGCACTGAAATCAAACTGTATTTCAGTGACCAAGGACCAGATTCTCAAGAGCACAGGAGACCTCTGCAGAAGGACAGAGCCACAGCACTTGTTCCAAGAAGCCCTTCTTGGAGCAAGTTCCTCTGGCCGAGTCTTGTCTGTGTGCTGCGATGATCCATGGGCAGTGCTGAGCCCCTGAGAGTTTCCTAGCAGAGCCTAGAACCACTTCTGTCCTCAGGAAGCAGATTCTACTTGGGAGCTGAGATATGCCTATAGACACCTCTGCTTTCTGAGCAGAGATTCTGTGCTGTGAAAAAGACAGGCATGGTAGAGCTTGCTTAGAAACCTTTTGTGCTTTCCAAAGAAGGAAAACTGAAGCCACTTTAAAAATGAATTTCATTTGTTAAATTGGAAAGTTATATTATTCAAGGACTTCAGTAGAATTACTAGGGAGGGGAGAGAGAGCACTGGACTCAAGCCTGCCTGTCTTTCTTGTCTCTCAGTACCACATGGTGAAGAAGGACTGGAGTAGGATCCGAAAAAGGAGCTGCCCTCCGAGAGGTGAGGTTTGCTTCTTCCACCCGAGGGGCCTTGACTTTGCTTGTCCCTGAGCACCTAGAGACTCCTTCTCTGAGAATGCCAGCTGGAGAGGTAGGAGAGGGTGGCTGGCTCCTGTGGACATTTTCCAGACTCTTTGCTTGGAACAAAGCTGTGACAGACTTGGGGACGGATGATGTCCAGGAGAGGTGAAGTGGGTGTCTGTGGACCAGTGCTGCCTGAATTCCATTGTGTGAACTCTTTCTACAGCTGTGGAGAACTGCTTTACTTCGCTATTACACATCCCTCTTTGAGATGATCTGTGCTTTGTCCTCCACAGGAAAGTTATGAAGAACCTGGAGGTTAACAGAGATGGGGCCACCTTGTAAATGCTTAAGTGCTGTCTCTCTGAGTGACTTGGTATCACTGTCACTGGTTTGGACGGTGATGCATGGATTCCACACTTGAGTTTCTCATTTTTCACCAAAGAAACATTCCCTTCAATCTCTTTTTTTTTCTCCACTATAACCCTTCTCTCCATCCTTTTCCAGCTCGCAGATATTTCTGGGAGGAAGGAGAAGAGATTAATGACCTGGATTCACTTCTGCACAGGTGAGAAACTTTCTACTTCTCTCTATGTCTGCTCCCTACCAGGGATCTGAAGTGACCTGTGGGGCTTAGGCTGAGCTTGGTGAGTGTTAGGGGCCCTACAATTTGGAATGGGGTGTGACTAAAACCCTGGGTGCAAGACCTTTGTAGCGTCATAATGTGGGGCCTTGGAGAGCCCATAGACAACAGCGGTCTTCCCCTATGCAGGCTGCCTGACCTTCCATTCCCATCTGTTCCTGTCTATAGCTTGTGCCTTTTGTCTTCTTCAGCCACCTGGGGAATCCCCTACAGGGTAGCAGACTCAATCAATTCTCAAGAGAAGATGCCCGTGGTGAGAAGTTCCAACCGTTATCTGCTAGAGCTGACCGAGCAAGTAGGCAGCCTTTGGAGGACATGTTTGTCACCGCTTCATCCTCACTGGTTTCCCAGATTCCTTCAGTTGAGCACCTCCCATTTCCGACCTCTACCTTGTCATCTGGTCTGAAGACATTGCCAGTTTCTCTGGGGTCACAGTCCCCCGTGAGGGCCTCTTCACCACCAGAGCCTTCAGGTCCTCTAAGATGTCCGTCACCCCAGCCATTTTCACTTTCCTCTTCCCCATTGCATTCTCCTGGCCCCATGGCCTCCCCACCACCTCTGCCAGACCCCGGCCTGGCTCTTCCTCAGCAGGATTCATCCCTCCTCCCACTGGGGACCATCCCAAGAAGCTCCTCTCCACCCAACCAGTGCTCATTGCCTTCTCCTGTCCCAGCAATTTCAATTCTTGGTCACTCAGTCTGTGCCATCTCAGCCCTTCCCCAGTGTCAGGAGCCTCCCACAGCTGTGTCCCACTCCAGCTTATCCAACAGTGAAGCCCAAGGAGGTCATTTTATCTGCCAATCGCCAGTGGCCTCATTCTTGGCAGACAACACCTTCACACAGGTGGAGAATGGTAGTTCTCATTTCCTCAATCCTGATGTCCAGGAGGTGCTAGAAATACTCATCACCAAGAAAGTGGAACTGAAGATCTCTAAGATGACTAAAGAGAATGGGCAAGACAGACCTTTGTATTCTTTGGGGAATATATTAAAGTCCCTGGGCAAAGAACAGGACCCTATCATGTCACAACCTTTCTGGAAAACAAAAGAAGAAGCAGAGTATTTTCCTGCTTTGCCACAGCTCCCCTATGTGAAGATCTTTGGGGATCATGTGCAACATACAGGGAGCCAGTTTTTCTGGGGCCTCCCAGTTCTACACAGTGAGTCCCTGGTGGAAAACACCAGAGTGACTGACGCCTCAGTGCAGTTTTCTACCATGTTATTCAATGGACTCTGTAATTATGTCCCAGCACAAATTCAGTCCAATGTTTCTCCACAACTCTATCCCCCTCGGCCCCAGGGCCACCATTTGGCCCTGCCCCACACATTTACTCAAGCTCTGCCTCCATCCCAAACCCCATCTGTGTCTCAGATACAGACCCAGGAGCATGCTCCATCTCTCCCAATTGTTCCTTGCCATTCACCTCAAGCCAGGACGTGGGAAGTGTCTAGTCTTAAGGGTCAGAACGGAAAGCAATATCCTGTTTCACATACTGTTCAATACCTAGGACGTGAATATTTGAAGCAGCCAGAGGAAAAGAGAGGGTTTCCTCCTGTAGTTAAAAGATCTCAGAAAGTCTTTAGCCAGCCTGCTGACAAACATGAGGTCATCCAGAAAACCAAGTCCTCTGGCAAGCTCCCAGTGGATGTTATCTACTTTACGATTCGTGAACAACTCGAGGAGCATCTTCAAGTAAGATTGATGTGTGGGCTGCCCCAGAAGGTTCACCTACCTCTGAACAAGGAAAAAGACCCAGGAAACAGGCAGGCAAAGGAAAATTGTGGGCCTTCCCAGACTTCAGTGATTTCAGACAAAAGCAGTCAGGTCATACAAAAGACCATGTCAGAGTGTCCAGAAATATCCCAGACAGGGAAACACTCAAGCAATGACCTGGAGAAGACCCCAAAAGACTTATTCATGGGTCTAGAAATGTCTGTGGTGAATGAACTAGACTCAATCTGTGACTCAGCATCACCAAGGAAAGTGTTGAGACTCCTAAGAAGTGATTCAGGAAATGATCCAGCCATCAGTCCAGGTAAGAAAAACCTAGAAGACAATGAGAGCATCTATCCAAGTGGGAAGGTTGAGCAGACAGGGGAAGGAATCACTGTGGATAATGGTCATTCCACACTCACTGTTGATCATGCCTGTGAACATCCTGGGAACTCAAATGTCCCCATGGAAACTGGGGATGAGCCATCTTTGCAGGGTCAGGAGTATGGCAAGAATGCTCAGGACCTCTCTATCCTCGATGCTGGGACTAGGCAGATGCTGGAAGCACATCTCAAAAGGCTCTGTGTGAGACACAGGTGGAGCCTAGCTTTCAAAGTCATCAGGGTTATTTTGAGACTGAAAACCAGTCACATTTCATTGCTTCCACAGCCTGCCTCTTCCTCCTCAGCCTCCCAAAACTCCAAGCCTGACTCCACCCACCAAGATATAAAATTGTACGGAGAACCATCTGAGAATATTCCAGGAGAGAACATGAAAACAGCTATGTCAGTTCTCAAAATGCAGGGTCCTGTCACTGGTCATTCATTCAAATCCTGTATGATGAGTCTACCTGGTGATGACCATGAGCCCTCAGAAGCTGTACTAACTGGACAAGAGACCAGCCTGACTGCTCAGCCCCATATATACTGCCCTGAGAGCAGAGTCCAGCATCCTGATACTGTCTCAGTGCCAGGGAGAGGCAGCATTGGTTCAAGTCCAGTATCAGTAATGGACAAATATCAGCCTCAGGAGAGAGGAGGTGTGGTCTCAAGTGACACTTCCCATCAAGTGTTGACAGGGGAGAAGAATGCAGGATCTCCATGTTCAAGGGACAGAGACATCCAGAAGACTATGGAGACAGAGGTGAAGAAATCAGTGGAGTGGGCAGTTACCAAGGAAGCCAGCATGATGTCACCCTCCCAAAATCTTAATGTGAGTCCAAGAATTTTAAAGTCTCCGGGACTCAATAAAAGCCTCCCCTCGCCCAAAATTTGTACTTTGCAGGAGACAGAGGTCTCGTCCTTGGGCATCCAGGCAATTTCAAAAAAGAAGGATCAGGATTTACCCACCAGAGTCCTTCTGCAAGACTTTGCCACTGGCGAGGTTCTTCAAGACTCTGCCTCAGAGATACCTCTTACCAAAGACATTCTGGCTTCTCAGGCTCGTCTGCCCAACACTCGAGGAGTGTCCAATAGCAGCACATCGCCTTCCCAAGGAATAGTCAGTCTCTTAATGCAAGACAGAATTAGCCAGGGTCAAAAGGAGCCCGGGATCTCAAAACTCCAGGATCCAGTGGAGATCAAGAGTAACACGTTTGATTCACCTGAGAGTGGAGGGGGCTTTGTGAGCCCCAGTAAAATGATCACTAGTCACCCATCACCTTCCCGAGGGCTAAGTGACCACTCAGGGAGGGACACGGTGGGCCAGGAACAGAAGGAGCCCAGGGTGCCCAAATCCCAGGAGCCCAGGATGAGCAAGAGCCATGTGTCTGCTCCACCTGAGAAGAAAGGGAGCTTTGAGAGGCCCAAACCAGGAGGGAAGGAAACGCAAAGTGCAGGAAGAAAGGAGGTTGGAAGGCTGATGCCCCCTCCTCAGATCAGGGAGGTAAGAGGCATTGCAGGACGCAAACTCCAGTCAGAGAAGAAAATGTTACCTTCAGAAGTCACCATTGGGACCCGAGTCTGGAACTTTCTGCAGAACATACTGCCCTCAAAAGACAAAGGGGAGGCAGAGCCCCTGCAGAAAGCCAAGCCCCGAGCAGCTGTGACCCAAAGTCAAGGTTTAGGTACCAAAGACAGGGTCTTTAGGGACACAGGCACTGTGGAAGCCCACGTGCTCATGAGTACTGTTGGACGGATCGTAAAGGAGAAAATGAAGCAACACTATGAATTTTCTGCCTCAAAAGAAAACTTGCAGAAAAGGGGACCACAGGGAGATAGGTGGTCCTCCTGCCACAAGAATGCTTCCTATCCACAGCAAAAGAGAATCGTCAGCAACATGGCCTGTGGTCCGCAGGCCAGGCCCCAGCGCCCCAGCCATGTGATGAATGGAAGCTTGATCAGAGACAAGGCAAACAATCCTGCCTTCCCTCCCAGGGAGCCTGGGCCCCTACCTGGTCACTTCCACAGGAGGCCCATGGGGGCTGGAGCCTCAGAGCCCCCTGTTCACTGCTCCAGGCACTATGCCCTTCAGAGAACTGTGTTCCCCAATCAATCACATAATGCTTCCCACATCCGTCCTGGGGAAAAATCTTTGCTGAGCAAACCTGCTCTGTCTCATACAGGCAGGTCTGGTATGGGCTAAGGTCATCTTTCTACAGAGATGTCTGTGGAATCCCAATAAATGACTTTTTCTCATCAGATGGTGTGGTTTCTGTCTGTGTTGTGTTGAGGCTTGAGAAGTGAGTTTGATTTTCTAAAGAGCAGCCTCGGGCTATGACTTAGGCAAGTCCCTTGGTGTCTCCAAACTTCCTTTCTTGATCCTCGTGAGCTCAGTGCCAGGCTTTTCAGCTCACCCCTTCCTCTTGAAAGGCTCAGGAATGCTCAGAAAATAGTATGATGAGTCCCCCAACATGCTATGATTAGCAAATCGAGGTGTTCACATTTATTTCCTGGGTGAGGATTGTTAGGAGCAAAGCTAGGAAGGGTTAAATTTAAGGGAGCTCTGGAAGTAGAAAAAGGTTCTTATGGAAGGCAGCATTTTGGACCACAAACCATTGTTGCTGTTTTCTGAAGCAGCTTCTGAGTCACCTTACAAGGCATGGGAGAAAAAAATGTAGTGATGCTGCTGGTGCTGTTCCACAGAAATGCGGGCTGTAAAAGCAGGGTGGTGTGGGGCCAACAGCCTTATTTGCCAGATTTGCCAAAGGGTAACTTCTGACTCTTCCTGAAATTCAAAATGTCAATGAAAAGTAAATGTTGTGAATCTATTCAAGACATTGAAACCACCACAAACACACAAAAAAAATTCTCACCGAAGAGTCTGGGTCTGGCTTACAAAGTCGTCTTGGTAAAATTGGCTGCTAATGTTTATTCTTTTTAAAATTCATTTATTTTTATTTAAAGAGAAAAAATAAAACAAGAAGGGTAGAAATAATACATAATTAAAAAATAAACAGCAAGAAATCACTAGTTGATAATTACATATTATCCTCTTAGAAATAGTTGTTCAAGTTACAAAAGTAAACCATACAAAGTGGACATTCAAACAGTGAGATGGCAAACAGTTCTGTTTAAGAATCCAACAAAAACTTAGTAATATGGTTATCTATCCTACACACTTAAACGTATATGCAATTATATCCTTTAGAGCACTTTTTTTTTTGTCTTTTTCATTTTTATTGGTACCAGGGACCGAACTCATGACCGCCTGCTTGCAAGGCAGGTGCTTATGCCTCTGAGCTAAATCCCCAGCCCCTAGAGCACTTTCTTTTCCTCTCTTTTTTACAACAGCAATTACACATTTAGAATTATATTACTCCCACAGTTCTTACTTTTTACACTAGAGACACAATGTCGTGTTTATAAATATGATTCTTATTTATTTCACTAATGAGGATAGTCTCAAGTTGTCTCCATTTGCTTATGAAGGCCTCAAGATCATCCTTTATAGCTGAATGATATTCCATTGTATAAAATATACCAAATCTTTTTCACCCACTCTGCGGTTGATAGGCATTTTGGTTGTTTCCAAGATTTAGCTATTACAAATTGTGCTGCTGTGAACATGGATGCACATATATCACTGTGACATGACATTTTCCGTTTTTTTGGGAAAATACCCAGGAGAGGAATAGCTGGGTTGAATGGAACTTCTAATCCTAGTCTTCTGAGAAATCTGCATACTGATTTCCATAGTGGTTGCACCAGTCTACACTCCCACCAACAGTGAAGTGTTCCTTTTTCCGCATAGCCTTGCCAACATTTGTTATCAGTTGATTTCTTGCTGGCAGCTATTCTGTCTGGAGTGAGATGAAATCTCAATGCTGTTTGAATTCGCATTTTTTGAATGACCAGTGATGATGAGCGTTTCTTCATGTATTTATTTGCCATTTGTATATCTTCATCTGAGAACTGTGTGTTCATCTCAGAGGCCCATTTTTGGACAGGCCTTTGAATTTGGGGCTTAATGTTTTTCAATTCTCTTTTTATGTTCTGGATATAAGTCCTTTGTGTGAGGGGTTGCTGGCTAAAATTCTTTCCCATTCCATGGGTTTTCTTTTCACTCTGATGATGATTTCTTTTGAAGTGCAAAAACTTTTCAATAATATGAGATTCCCAGTTGTTGTTTCTTTGAAGTATTTTCCATGCAGTTTGTGTTTTGTTCATAAATTCTCTGCCTACCCCTATGTCTCCAAGATTTCTGCCTACCTTGTCTTCCAGTAGATTTAATGTTCGTGTTTTAATATTTAGATCTTTGTTCCATTTTGACTTTAGTTTTGTGCATGGTGATAGGCATGGATTTAGTTTCAGTCTTTGGCATGTGGAGAGCCAATTTTTCCAACACCATTTATTAAAGAGATTATCCTTCTTCCAGTGAACATGTGCAGCCCCTTTGTCAAATATCACATGGCTGCGTGTCTTTGTAGTTGTGCTTGCACCTTCTACTCTATTTCATTGATCCTCAGGTCTATTTCTTTGTCAGGGCCATGATGATTTTATCACTGTGGCTTTGAAGTATAGTTTCAAGTCAGGAATTGAGGTGCCTCCTGCCTTGCCTTTGTTTCCCAGAATCATCTTTGCTATTCTAGGTTTCTTCTGTTTCCAAATGAATTTTAGGAATGTTTTCTCTTGATCTATGAGGTATATTGATGGTATTTTGATTGGGATTGCATTAAATCTGTGTAACAGTTTTGGGAGTATGACTGTTTTCACAGTGTTGATTCTTCCTAACCAAGAGCAAAGAATAGCCATCCATTTTCTATATCCTTTTTTAGTGTAGCATAATTTTCAGCATATAGGTCTTTTACATTCTTAGTTAGGTTGATTCCTAAGTATTTCATTTTTATAGATGCTATTGTGAAGGGAGATATTACCATAATTTCTCTCTCAGTGAGTGTTTTGTTTGTGTACAGGAATGCTATTGATTTTTCAGCATTGACTTTGTATCCAGCTACACTGTTGAATTTGTTTATTTCCTCTAGTAGTCTTTTAGTGGAGTTTTTGGATCTTCTACGTAGAGTACCATATCTTCTGCAAATAGTGATAATTTAACTTCTTTCTTTCCTATCTTTATTCCTTTTATTTCTCTCTTTTCTGATTGCTGTGGCTAGTGTTTCCAGAACTATATTGAATAGGAGTGGTGATAGTGGACATTCTTCTTTTGTTCCTGATTTTAATGTGAAAGCTTTCAGTTTTTGTCCATTTATTATAATGTTGGCTGTTGGTTTGTCATATATGGCTTTTATAAGGTTGAGGTGGACACCATGTATTCTGAGTTTCTGAAGGGTTTTTATCATGAACAAGTGTTTTTGGTTCTGTTGATGTGGTGTATTACATTTATTGATTTGCGTATGTTAAACCATCCTTGCATATCTGAATGAATCTCAGTTGGTCATGATGTATAATCTTCTTGATGATTTGCTGCATTCTATTTACCAGTATTTTATTGAGAACCTTCTCACCAATGTTCATTAGTGAGATTGGTCTATAATTCTGCTTTTTGGTTGGGTTTTTCTCTGGTTTTGGTAAGAAAGTGATACTTGCCTCCAGGAATGATTTAGGGAGGTTTGTTTCCTCTTCAATTTCATTGATGATTTTAAGGAGTATTAGCATCAATTCTACTCTAAATTTCTTGTAGAATTCAGCTGTGAATCCATCAGGACCTGGGATTTTCTTGGTTGGTAAGTTTTTAATTACATTTTCAATTTCAATAGCTGATAATGGGTTATTTAAAATTGGGAAAAGTTGTTCTGGGGACTGTGGCCATTTTTTATCTCTATCTAGTATGTCTTTCAATATTCTTTCTAGGATTAGCTTGGTGGACGTGAATGTCTTCTGCTCTACTTTGTCATGGAAGTATCTTGTTTCTCCATTAAATTTGAATGTAAGTTTTACTGTCAACATCACTCTGGATTGAAAGCTGTTTTCTTTCAGGGCTTGAAATACTTCACTCCAAGCTTGTCTTGACTTGAGGGTTTGTGCTGAAAAGTCTGCTGTGATTCTAATAGACTTTCCTTTATAGTTGAGTTGTGTCTTTTCTCTAACAGCTTTTAGTATTCTGTTTTTATGCTGTATGTCTGAGACATTATTATATGTCTGGGTGTAGATTTTTTTCTTTTTATTTAAGGAGAAAAAGAAAAAAACAAAAAGGGTACAAGTAATACAAAATTTAAAAAATAAACAGTAAGAAATCACTAGTTAATAGATTACATGTTCTCATCTTAGAAATAGTTGTTCAAGTTACAAAATTGAAGCATATAAAGTGGACTTTCAAACAGTGAGACTGCAAACAGTTTTGCTCAATGATCCAAAAAAAAAAAAAAACTCAGTAATATGGTTATCTATCTTATACACTTAAACATATATGCAGTTATAACCTTCAGAGCACTTTCTTTTCTTTTTTTTTTTTTTTTGTAAAATGACAATTACACATTTTGGGTTTTATTACTCCCACAGTTCTTGTTACTTTTTTTGAAGAGAGTGAAACCAAATGCGACATATCAGAACAGAGTCAGTCAAATCAAAATGGTGGACATAATAATGTAAAAACAAAATACAAGGTGATCAACAGTGGTTACCATACTGCCTCTTGCTAATTTAAGAAGAATTGCCAGTTATAATAAAATTGAACAAAACATTAAAGAATAAAACCAAAGCATTGGAGACATTACAGGACTTTAAAAGAAGATAATAGTCAACCGGAATGGGCCTCATAATGAATCTTACTGTCTTCACAGTTTTGCCTATACTTTCGAACTTGGTACTATCAAACAAAGCAGAATAGGGGAAAATCAGTCAAAACAAGATGGTGAGGGCAATACAGGATTTCAAATCAAGTTAATAGGAAAGCAAAGTAGGTTACTATAATGTATCCTGCTATTTTTAAAATTTATTTTTCCCTTAATTAAAAAGATAAAAAGAAAAAAGTAAATAATTAAAAAAGGGGGGGGGGATCGAGATAAAAGAGGGCATAACAACATAACAGTGCAGGTCAAAACATAACTATTTAAACAAAATAGTGTTTCACCACAAGATATCCTGACATAAAAGTAGTTATCATAGTGTCTCTTTCCTTGAAATCTTTGAGTATAACTTGGTATACTGTAGCACCAAACATATCAAGACACTATAAAACCATTCAAGAGAATGACAGTATACAGGGTATTTAGAACCAATTAACAGAAAATAAACAATGGTTTCT